ATGGATATAGTATATTATTCTTAAGAGATAGACATATGCCATCGCGGACTTTTCTGTAGACCTATATAAGATATACAATTCCACCATACATTATTTCGTTATATCTCAAAGGGTTTAGGCAGCGTTTTCGTTGAAAGCTCCCAGACGTCTTATTTTTTCCGACACCTCCAACAAATATCGTTATAGGTATTTTAGCCAATGTATACAAAAACTTAACAAATTATATACTAAAACCTTCCTCTTGAATCACTCTATCTATTAAAAAAACCGCATCAAAATCCGATGGGTAGTTTTAAAGATTTAAGCATACATAGAGATATAGGGACAGAGAAAGCGACTTTGTTTTATACTATGTAGAGATGAAGCCAAAGGGTTTTTTGTAAATTGAACGCAGACGAAGCCGCGGAGTCTGCTAGTAATATATAATTCTCTCTGTAACGTCTTATTAATAGTAATAGAATTCATGACACATAAATATATTATTTTGTATTTCAAACCCATCTTCTTTTCATAAGCGGTAGTAATAAAAAACCCAACTACGTAAAAAGCGAACTAAAAAATGGAAACAAGTTGACGAAGGAATAAAGTACATAAATACTTATTTATGTACATCTCTCAGTAAGAATAAAATATGTATGTCTCCAAAAAACCTTTATTTTGATACACCACTCGATAGATTTAGAAGAAAACTGTTTTTGAAAGACACAAATGGAGAAGTTTCAAAATGTTAATAATATCATATTTAACGTAATGGAATTATAATATAGGTCAAAACTAATGAATCAGTGATTTTTATTTGAAATCTATCAATGATTATAGAAATTAATTTAAATTTCGGTCGTACAGGTCGTGTGACGTCACAAAATTATTCTCACAAGCGCAACTTTAAGGTTTCATAACTTTGTCATTTGTTGAGATATTCTAATAATTCTTTTATATTTTTGTCATATTTTGTTTAAATTTTTATAATACAAAAATCAAAATGAGAAATTTCTCCATGGCGCTTGAAATACACTATTTATTTTCTAAATATCTTATGATACTCGCGTGATCAATACAAATCTGATGACGTATAAATCATTAAAATCGGTTTAGCCATTTAGTAATTACGATTTTCACTGGTGACTCGTGTTGACAATGATCATGACATGATCACATAAATACATACATACATACATAAATATATACATACAGGTCAAACACATAAATCTCCTTTGAGCTTCACCACAGTTGGGTAAAAACTACGTAAGTCAGGCCCATTGTTTTTGAATAACACGCGCACAATCAAACATATTTTATTAAGTGATGATGTTCTCCTAGCCGATTCCGGCCACGGCGGCCAATCTTATTGAGACTAGCCAACTGCGCAGGAGATATTATAGTGCACAAGTGTACGCGCAGACACAAGTGCACTCTCTATTCCTGTCACTCTCATACTCTGGTGGGACGACCATTCGACACGACCAGTGAGAGTTAAGGCGCAGGACCGACGGCTTTACGTGCTCTCCGAGGCACGGGGGTGAAGCATCGCCAACTTCCCAACTCCGGGCTGTTACTGAGACTTACTATACAGAAAGACTCAATAACTAAACTTGGCCCGACCTGGGACTCGAACCCAGGACCTCCGGGTGTCCAGCCGTACATGCAAGCCACTACACCACCGAGGCATTTTATTAAGTACATAAATATTATCACAAATCTTCATCAAAATTGTACTTACCTAATAAATATCTCATTAAACACATTAAATTATTATCTATAGAACCATTTCAATGACATGTATTATACTATAGGCAAAGTAAAGGTACGACACGTTTCGTGAGCATCAAATTACCTTCCTCATTTTCAGTTCTAAGCAGGATACGAAACGCGGTCACGTCGGTGTCTAAAACTCGTGTGTACGCGTGCTTCGATTTCCAGATAGACGTAAATCTGTGGTACAAAAAAAAAGTTGAAATAATTTATTTTTATATATTATTTAAATATTATTATTAAAACTCTTTTGGGATTTATTTGATTTTTGATGGTTAGTATGGTTTTATAAAACAAAAAAAAAAACTAAATCAATCCGCACAAAAATCCCAACAGATAATATTAAACAGGTAATCAACCCAGTTTGACATAAATATGTATAAATAATACTTTCTTCCGATTTACAGTATTCCATTTTTAATGAATTGGTGTATGGTCGCGTTAATTTAGTTAAAAAAAATTTGGATAATCAATACAAAATCGACGAAGACGTCGTGGAACGTATTTAAAAATTTTCATCGCCCATTAAACAGGATGTCTTATTATATTAACAATAATTTATTCCATAAGTTTGTGATTTAAACAAACATGAAATCTATACATATAATAAAATTGTAACTAAGCCGAATTTGTAAATTACATATTTTTTTGAAAATCTTATTTAAATAAACATTATTATCGATACAGAGGACATATACAGATACAGAGTCTGTTACCGCATCACAGAAAAACCACTGGAGGAATTTTGATGAAATTTGGTATAATGATAGCTGGTTATCCGGGTCAACATAATATTCTTTTTACCGCGGAAAAACATCTCATTTCTGAGAAAAAATAATAATATCACATACTAATATGTGAAACCTAAGAATTTGGTTTTAGCCATCTGAACGCGGGCGGAGCCGCGGGCAATGCTAGTATATAAATATTTATTTTTATTTACTGTGTATCACTTTTATAAAACTAATAAAATGTAAAATGACGTTTTTCATCCTTTTTTACCCGCGATGGCCACGGGGACTGTATAAGAGCATGTTCTTAGCTAAGTTTTATAATATTACAGACCGCCAGAGGGCGCTACAGTATACACATGTTTCTCCGAACGGTTATTTTATTTAAATAAATGTATTTATTATTTAAATAAAAAAGCCACAAAGAATGCAAATTAATTAACAATAAAGCTACTGGCACATATACTACTTAATATGTACAGTGTACAACACATGTTATATGCACGACCGCTATTAATAATATTCTATATTATGGTTTAATGTCGTAGGTTTTCGAATTTTTTTATTTAAAGTTTTTTTCATGACACAATTTTTGTTACTAGCAAGAAATTATTGTACATGATTGCATTAAAAATTTTACAGGAGAAAAATACGACGTATGTCACAGCAAAGGACAAAATTAGAAAATAAATGATTAGTTGGAGATTATTGGACAAAACGAAATTCACACATCAATATTGGTACTCTACATAATTTAGAGACGCTTAAAGAATTTTTGAAGCACAAGTTAACAAGGCCAGTGTTGAAGCACCATTAATTAAGCTATTTTAAGTTAATTTTAAGCAACATAACATAAACCAACGTAATCTAAAACTCTTCTGTCAGACGTCTTGTCATGTATTGTCATATATGTAGCACAGACGGTGATTCTAAAATTTCTTTTTTTCTTCTCAATAAATCGTAAGACTGCGTGCTGTTCAGTCATCAAAGTTTTAATTTTTTATTTATAAATCCCAGCAAAACTCCCCTATACGCGCACAGCCAGTCAATTTAAACACCTGTCGCTTCCAGACACAAATATGCAAGTTCCGGTGTAGAAGTTAGCATGCAGTGTTCTTGTTTATGTTTAGTGTTGCAAGTTAATTAAAAGGGACTGTTGACTTGCTTTTCGATCGCCTCACATACCAATCTAGGTATTTAGAGTATCATACACATACAATACGTATGCTTACATATTTAACATACATACAATCTTAGAAAATAGTTCCAGCATTTCATGCTTAGATCCACCAAATGCTGGAGCTGTTTTTTTAGATTGAGTGTAAAGAATCTACCACATTAATAAAATGCTTGAAAAATAATATAATATTTATATATTTCTATGAGCTGACCTACTGTATATAATATTATATGCTTACAGTGTATAGTATTATACTTAATCGTAAATAGAAAACACACCCTAGTAAATCTAGGGGAATGTCGCAAATCCATACTAATATTATAAATGTGAAAATGTTTGTTTGTATGTTTGTTTGTCCTTCTTTCACGTCGAAAGGGAATGACCAGATAGTTGGAGGGCTGGAGAGCGACATAGACTACTTTTTACCGCGGGAGATTATCTAATTCCCACGGGAAAACACGTTATAATACAATCCAAAAAAATATTTATGATCAAAATTACTTGAATCTTGTTTTTTTTAAATAAAACTATCTTTTAGGATTATTTCGCGGATTTATTTTGATTTTTGGTTCCCGACGTTTCGAATGCTTTACAGCATCCATGGTCACGGGAGAGACTGAGGTGTTACATGTCTTGAAGGTAAAGTTGTTACAGACAGCCTACCCACAATTAACAAAATGAAAATTGCACCAATTACATTACAATATTTTTAACTTTAAACATTTTTATAATTTTAATTATAATTGAATATGGAATATTATTTATTTAATTTTTGCTATTATTTTTATAATTATTACAATAAATTAAACAATAAATCCGCGAAATAATCCGAAAAGATTTTATTTAAAAATGTCAAACATTCGCGTAAATCTAAGAAAGTATTATTGAAACTTGTTATTAATGTTCTTCAATAAAATTAAATAAATAGGTATATATCCACTTTTCGTAATTCATCGTATAAGGTATGAAAATTTGTATGAAACTACCTTTTTAGAGATTTTTAGCAGTTTTAGCGCGAGCGAAGCCGCGGGTTCTGCTAGTAAAACATAAATAAGAGTGATTACTCATATCACTTAAAACTTTATTCGCCCCCACATAGGTTAATCAAATTCTATTTTTATAGTATTAGGTCATAGAATGCAACGAACTTCACTGCTAATTCATACACTGAAAATATAAATAAATACAATTTCGAACGTGAAATCATTTCATACAAAAACACGCGGCAGAACACTTCTCTCTTGTAATAATAACATACCGGCGAAAATTATTTTCAGCTGTAAACAAATTGATTGTGAACAAGTTTTGAAGACTTTAAGAATTCTTCACAAGATTCAATGGATTCTGCAAGTTTTATTGAACAAGAAAAAATGGGAAATATAAAAATGGATTCAAACGAAGCTCAGTGTGAAATCGACACTAAAGGAGTTGATGACGATGTAGAGGTAGCGAAGAAAGCCACAGATTCAGAAAACTGTTTAGTACACGGAGGTTGTCCTCAAGGTTACCGAAGAGTTGGACCTTTTTGTGTTCCTATAAATGAAAACGAGTAAAATGCATTTTATAATTGTGTGATTTTTGTATTTAGTAATGACTTTTCAACAAAAAAATGAAACTGACATCAAAATCATTTTAATGCAATTATTTCACTCTAAGAGGCAGATATTTTCAAATGTAAATAGGTATTTTTAAATGTAGGTAGGTAACCTATTTAAAAAAAAAACAATATCTGAAAATCGATTTACAATCCGAGAAGATCGTGTAGAGTATCCACAAAAAATACAATCGAATAGCTAAAAATAGTTTTGACGCCATGAGCCAGAAAACAGTGCCAAAATAATACCTATATAAATATTTTCAGTATGTAATGATGAGTCATACGTCGAATTACTCGTACGATTTTACTGTACCTACCTACCACGTATACCTAACTATGTCATGGATTTTGTACTTGATGATACCATGTGAACTGATGTGGTGTAAAGCACCTTTAAAAATATATTGAGTTGTGATATTATTAAACTTATTTATATTTAATTTCTTTCATAGACCCATTTTTTACTTCTTTTGGCGCGTTAGTGAAAAATGATTAGTGATTTTTTTACGATGCGATAGATTTAGACTACAGTATGAAGTTAGTCGTTAAATCTCCCTTTAGTATAGAGTGATGTCTATATTCAAGATTAATGTATCCGTCCGGTATTTATATATACACAACTCGTTTATCGATAGAAATAAAAATTAATACAAGTTTTTATTCAGTTGTAATTAATGATAGGTCCGTCACTAACGCCATCTATTGGAAGTAATCCGAAGTAGTATTTCTATTACTAGTATTATATGATCTGTGCCATTTTGGATAGGAATCACTACTTCGGATAACAATTCTAGACTTTTTTAATGTCCAGCTGTTCTTTAGGGTTTTCCCTATTTCTTTTATTCTCAAATCACCCCTGACACACCCCCAACAAAACAAAGAAAGAATTATTTAAATAGATCCAGCCGTTTTTGAGTTTTAGCGATACTAATGTTAATGTCTGAAACTAGAGGTCTGATTTAAAGGAATCTTTCACATTTGTAGTATACTAGTGACTTACCCTCTCTTTGTTCAGGTGCGTCCGTACGTATGTTTTTGTATAGATAAAAATAGTTATTGTAAGCGTACCTTAGGAAGTAGAATTATTTTTTAGTAATATTTAAAAGATAAAAATGGTTATTATGATTTATCCTTAGGATATAGACATGTACCATCCCAGAATTTTCTGTAGACCTTTTTAAGATAGTACATTATTTAGACATATAAGGTTTAGCCAGCATTAGCAATGTAAGCGCCCAATTATATGTTTTATATGACATCATTACAAATCTTTGAAATTTTCGTTTTTTATCTACTATAATATGCACGTGTAAATAAAAACATATAAACCTTTCGGAAGAAAATCTCAACATAATAGTGAAATTTGTATCAAAATCCGTTGTGTGGTTTAAAAAAAGTTACCGGAGAAACAGACAGACAAAAACAGTGACTTTGCTTTATACCATACTAGCGTTCCTGGGTACGTTTTAAATTAAAATGGATGTAGTATGTTATCCTTAAGACATATATATGCCATTGCGGACTTTTCTGTAGACCTATATACATAATTCCACCATACTTTATTTTGTTATATCTCAAAGGCTTTAAGGCAACGTTTTCGTTGAAAGCTCCCAGACTTATTCCAGGCTTATTTTTTTCCAACACCAACAAATATCGTTATGTTTTAGCCAGTGTATACAAAAACTTAACAAATTATATACAAAAACCTTCCTCGAGATCCACTCTATCCATTGGCGAAAACATGAAAATCTGTGCAGTACCTAGTTTTTGAGTTTATCGCGAACTTGTTTATTGCGACTTTGTTTTATAATATGTACATGTAGTGATATATAATTGTATTATATAGATTTTTTATTAAATTATAAGTTTGACAAAAAGAAATGCTTTACTAATGTTCAAACTTAATATTTTTTTACGATTTTCAACCACGACATGATCACTGGTAGGTACATCAAATATACTTGCTAAAGACTTTGGTAAGGCATTTTTATATATATACTTATTAGTAAATTTAGGTTAACAATCGGCGTTATCTTAGACTGGTCTAATACCTAAAAACTAAATATTTTCGCCAATGCACTGAGAATGACAATGAGAATAATTTCATAATCTTTCATAATGTTTTTAAATTTAGCGGCATCGATACAAGGTGGACGACTAAAATAGTAAAATAAAAATTATTTATATGTAACAAAAGGAAATCCCTTTTTTTAACCTATATGGCTTTAAGATATAACTAACGTTAAAAAATGTCTAAAGAAGCTCCTTAAGAATATTTGTAATAAAAAAGTCATTATGGTTGATCATAATATGTAAGAAAAAACGATTAAATATACTTTAATGTTTATTTTTCCACAGAAACAAAGTCACAGGTATTCAGGTATAGGTACAGGATCAGGTAAAGCCACGGTATCAAATAATTATAAGATAAATAAAATGTTGTATGGCTATGGGTGTTCTTTTTTTATTTTATACAAATTTTCAATCATTATTATTTGTACTTAAATTTAAAAAATACTTATTTGCTATATAAACAGTTGCTATAGTAACATTTTCTACAAATATCGATTTATTGTAAATTATTAGTTACCAAAATAAAAAATCCATTTAAATAAACCGGGAAATTTTCAGATGATTCATTAAAATATTTGCTTAATTCGTATGTTAAATGTTGCCACAATAAGAAGTCATGGTCACCATTAAAGACTCTTTGGTGTTTATCTCCATTTTAACGTTTAGTCATTAAATTAGTTAACATTATTTGTTATTAAAAGTCACCTTTTCAATATCAAATAAGTTGTGAGATTTTAGTTGTAAAATAGAACATATTTATTACACATAGTTAAAAATAATAAATTTCTAGATTGATTTGATGCAACATGAGTGGGAACTGGGATGTTATAGCTACCGCGAGTTAGTCTCTCGATAATAATACGTTACTTATTACTAAAATTGCTTTTAAACTATTTAAGTAAATAAAAACACTATATCCTATACTTTAAATTCACATTCACATTTTTACGATAAATAATAAAGTCCAATATATATTTGCTTTTGTATCATTGTTTCCTCATCTCACTTCTTCATCGGCACACACATAAATCCAATCTTCTTGTAATTAATTGGACACTTTCCTGCACCAACTATGCCAACTCTGTTTGTCAAATCTGGTACAAATGACGGATCGGTCTCAGACACCACTGCTTTCGGCTTAGTACTATTATCTACATCTCTAAAAACAAATAGTTATCCAATATTTTTTGATAATGCGTCCTTATTTGTTAAATTCTTTACAGTTGTCTTCTCAGATGACGGTGGTATCTCTTCAAATTTGATTATACTGGATTGTACAGTATTAAAAATGTGTATAAATAGCGCAAAGAGTAAGACATTTAAAACAAACATTTTTTATTTTAATTATCACTGAATATTAACAAACACTTGCTAAATCCTCTATGCACGAGTTTTAAGTAAGGAGATTAAGCAATTTTCCCCCTTATATACAATATACAGTTACAAGCTACGTCATCCTGACTAATGCTAGTACTTAATATTATTATAGAAGTCAAAGTGTTTGGCTTGTTTGTTTGTTGGTTTGTGATCTCTTCAAGAACTTCTATGAACGTATGATATGTAACGACATTTTTTTTGATTTATTTATAGCCTTTTAGGGAATTGAACGCTAATACGTTGTTATAGGTTGCTATTCTTTGTTGTAGGTTGTCCTAGTTTCTTTAGCGTCCAGCTAAGCCAGCCTGGAGCAAAGCCAACAGACACACATGGAGGTAGTATACTTCGGTGAGGGGTGTACCATGCGGGTTGCTCCTGGTACTTCTCTGACAGCAGACTAGACCGTGAGACGAGGGAGGTTATGTTGGGCTTAAGTGGGTAGTACTGGCACATATAACCACCTGTATGTATATAGATGGTGTCCGTAAATGTATTTCCCAATATTAAAATAAATAAATAAAGGTTGTCTCAGTCACATGTCACACTACTTTAGACATGTGCTACTTAATATCTTAGTAATAATTTATATGCAACGTTTATGTATCTGTATATCAATTTTGCGAACTAATGTTATTAAAATCTATGAAATCACTTAAATAAAAGAAATTGACAATTTTAAAAGAGATTTATTAACAATACATAATAAATTATAATGTATTTATATAAAATAACACTTTAATTAAATTTATTTCCTTGCTTTAAATTTGTCATTTTCGTCGGATTCTCTCTTCAAAATCCAATTGTACATCACTAAGAATAACAACTACATAAAGAACTATATTAATATTATATTCTAATATATCTAACTCTTCTTATTTGGTATACAAGTAAATCCAACCCTCTTATAGTCAACTGGACATTTTTCTGCAACTATCCCAACTTTGTCCAACAAGTCCGGTACATATGACGGATCGATTTCAGGCAACTTCATTTTAGTTTTATTCTCACTATTTTCTTTATTTCTTAAAACAATAACCAATTTTCCGATATTATTCGATGATGTATCCTTATTTGCAACAAACTTCACAGTCAACTCCCCAGGTGATAACGGTATCTCTTCAAATTTAATTACTCTAGACTGTGTCGAATCAAAAATGTGAACAAGGAGAGCCAAAAATAAGATATTTGTAATAAACATTTTCAATGTTGCTATTGCGAATTTCTAAACGATTGTTTAATTCTCAGAGAACAAGTATTGAATGAAGAGAATATTGGATTTTCAGGCTTATATACACCGCTACTAGCTACATTATCCTTATTACTTACTAATATGATAAATGCTGGAGTACGTTTGTTCGTTGATTTTGTTTCGTGGGTAACACTGAAGCAGTAAAACTCTTGGTTTTTGCATTGACATGCTTTTTTGGCTATGGGCTATTTTTGCAGTACGTCCAACGATTTCCATGGCATATTAGTCATTTTCAAAGTAACTAGAGAACAATGGGTGTAACTAAGATATGAGCGAAGTGAGGGCACATCACAAGATCATCATAGACGCACATAAACATCAACTTACGATATTCCATTAATTGAAAATAAATTTAATTACATTTGAAATCTTTCCTCTTTGTCATCTTAGTGACTCAAACACATGTATGTATGTGTATGTAACAGATAGGTACTCGTAGGTATCTAAATTACGTATAGTATTAGTATGAAACTTTTACGAGTTCACATAAATATATATTTTTTTTATTTATATGTAATATTATAAATTTTCATCTTTCTGTGTACAGAAGGCTGTAGACCAATCCTATAAAATACAATCGGTTATCACTTATAATTTGGCTCATTAACATGAAAGTTTTAGTATAAAATGTACAAATATTGCGTGTAAATTGGCTAATAAGTAAAAAAAATATAGTTTGAGAGCTTTTTTGAATCGTGCGGAAACCCACTACGGCTCTACGACAGGCTCGCTTGCAGTGGGTTTTTACCTTCTACCTTCTACTTTTTTAAAGTTTTTTAAGGTATTTTTTAACTCATAATATCTTAACTAATAAGTTATATTATTATTAGTAAAGATAACCTGAACTATTTAAAATAAAGGGGTTGAAAAGTTAATATGAAAATAAAACATGGTTATAAGGAAGAAGGAGAAAATAGAAAGCTTTTAATGTATAACCATAATATGTTTTAGCTTTTGCATTAACCTTGTGGGCTTATCCCAGTCTAATTAGGATAAGCCGAGGAATAAGGGAAAGAAAAAAAACTACGATCGATAAAAGAGGAATATTTTTGTATATAATTTGTAAACATTTTGTGTAAAATAGGTGAACCTCGATGCTGTTTTGCCACAAAAACCGTTTTCGTGCATTAAACGGCTAACGCTGGCAAAACCTTAAGGTACATCAAAAGAATGTACTAGAAAGTTGTAACTTTAAAAGGCCCTACAAAAAAGTCCAGGTAACATAGCTGCTCCAATCAATGTCAATTATTACTTAATATTCATATCTAATATTTTAATATACTTGAATATTGTTTTATTGAAAATATGCAACAAATAACATAAGAAATTAATCCTTAGCTTTTGTCATAAGTCATAACACTTTCTTAGATTTACGCGAATATTTGACCTTTTAAATAAAACTACCTTTTCGAATTTTTTCACGCTTTTGTTTTAATTTTTGGTTGCCGACGTTTCGAATGATTTACAGCAATCATCAGTTAAAGTTTCCAGTGAAGCCAGCTCGTAACGCTATATGTACATATCTATACATATAATAAAATTGTAACTAAGCTGAATCTGTACATTTAATATTTTTTGGAAAATCATATTGAAATAAAGATTATTATTGATACAGAGGCCGAATCTATAGTTTTTAGAATTTTTGTCTGTCTGTTACCGCATCACAGAAAGACCACTGGAGGGATTTTAATGAAATTTGATATGATGATAGCTGGTTATCCGGGTCAACATCATCATCAAGGTCTCGTTTCTGAGAAAAAATACAAAAACTGCAATGTAAAAGTATACTAATATGTAAAACCTAAGAATTTGGTTTTTGGTCATCTGAACGCGGGCGGAGCCGCGGGCAATGCTAGTATTGTATATAGGTATGCAATGTATCTACATGGGATGCCGCCATCTAACACATTCGATTCTCTCTGTCTACTAAAATATAATAGAAAATAAAAAATGCAGGAGACATTGAAGAAATGATACTGAAACATGTGCACCTTACATTCATTTATTTTTCTTTTTAGTTTTATTTTTGGAATAATCATAATTCAATTAATATTTATCACGTAAGGAATTTCTATTCTGATTCAGTAAGGTAAGCTAAAAGGTTTTTATTTTTTAAATAAATAAATATATTTATAACATACAATATTTAGTTATATATGTGTAGTGTATCAACTATCTGGTATCCATAACACAAGCCTCGTAGCTGACCATGGGACTAGATGATGCTGTGTTAATGTCCCAACATATTTAAAGTTTTTTAGTTAGTTACACGCCACACTGTATACTCGTATACTACTGCTATAGTCGTCTTCTACTTTCATCTTTAGTGAGTATTAAAATTAATGAAAAGCCTTTATTTATAAATCATTAAACACAAAAATAATAAAAATGTAAAAAAGAAATAAATAAAAAAACTATTTTATAAGAATTTTATTCATATAAAACATTATATATTACATTTAACTTTCCAACTAGTCTTAACATCGTAGCAACCGTGAGTTATTCCTTTAACATACTTTAATACATATTTTATATAAGTTTGCATCAATATTATTTTATTTTTACAATTACATTATACATATAAAACAATTACAATATAAAACAAACTAATATTTTGATTATTTAATACTATCCTATTAGTTTTTTAAATCACATTTCACTTCACTAAGAACAATAACGTATTTTTAAATTATACTAACAACTTGTTTTTTCGGTTTCATCTCATTTAACTGGTTTTCTTATTTGACAAACACATGAACCCAACCCTCTTGTAGTCAATTGGACATTTTTCAGCTACTATTCCAACTTTATTCAACAAATCTGGTATAAATGATTGATCCACCTCTGGCGGCATTGTTTTTGTTTTTGGTTCAATTTTATCCTTATTTCTTAAAAGAACTATTAATTTTCCAATATTTTCTCCTGATGTATCCTTATTTGGAACAAACTTCAAAGTTAACTCTCCAGATGAAATCGGTATTTCTTCAAACTTAATTATTCTGGAGTGTACTGAATCAAAAATGTATAGAAACAATGCCAAAGACAAGCAATTTGTAACAAACATTTTCAATTATTGTTGCTTCTGAATGCTAAGAAATACTTGTTTAACCCTTAGTGGTCAAATTTAAAGTAGACGAACTTACTGAGTTATTATCCTTATATACTTAGATATTAGCTACGTCATAAAATATAGCGTAAGAAACCACGGCACGAATATTTTCTTGTATAAATTCCTGGTTCTGTGTCATAATAAATTAGACGTATATGATTTGTATATACGGCATAGTATTAGTATTATATTTTCCTTTTAATGATAACTTAACAATGCTCAATTAGTAAATTGTTAAGTTTTAGACTTTAGTCGCAGTGCGTGACGTGAGACTTATCGCTGATATACATTTTTCTAGATTTTATAAGTATAAATATGTTGGGACATTAACACAGAACCCTCTAGTTCCATGGTAAGCTACGAAGCCTGTGATATGTATACCAGATAGTTTATACAATACACATAATATATAACTTTAAACACATAGATATTATAAATATAAACACCCATGCCTGGAGTATAAACATTCGTGCTCATCACACAAGTGAATGCCCCTAGCAGACCTCGAACCTGCGACCGCTGGCACAGCAAGTAGAGTCATTACAAACTGAGCTAAAGGTGTCGGCAAAATGTTAAAAAAATTAAAAGTAAAAAATTTGTAAAAATAACGAATCATGCTAACTCTTGCACCCTCGTATATTTTTTATTAGGGGTATGGTCTGCCTACGTAAAACTTATGTAGATAACAAGAAAGCTTGCAGCAAGTTTGAATCTGACCTGATCTGAATATGTCTCTTGTGATGATGATAATGACCAGATAAGACCTCTTTACTAACATTATTGGCATCACGGAGGAACCAAAAGACTTAGGATAGTTGGTATTACTATGGGAATAAGGCCACCTAAAAATACATTTAGCGAGACTGTATTTAAAAAGCTGCGTCATATTTTTATTAAACACTCAACATCAACGAATTAATCGATGCATGTCGTTAAACTGAAACGCAGGCACATATTGTAGATTAACTACAACTAACCTATACGTAATAAGAAAACGGGTCGATACGTACTGAAAGACTACGCTGTAGCAAACTTATAATTCATAGCGGTTGAATAAAAGCTGGCCAGAATCATAACGGTTAACGCTTTAAATAGAAAGACCATCGAGCCGTGAACGCTAAAACTTATAAAATACTAGTGACCTACCCTCGCTTCGCTCGGGTTCTTCCCTAGGTTGATTCCCCATAGAAACTTTCATCCCCATTTTCACCCCCTTAAGGTATGATTTCTGAAATAAATTTTAGGATTTACATAAATCAGTTCAGTAGATCCAGAGATTACCCCCTACAACGTCACATACTCACAAATTTACCTCTTTATAATATTAGTATAGATAAAATATCTTTTAGCTTTTAAAATGTGTTTAAGGCTTTATTAAAATGAAAACAATTTAAGTTAATTGTCACGAAACGTAATGCTTTGGTCGGCCCCTTTCTATAATAAACTTAGAATGACGTTTTTTCATCCCTAATTGTAAAGATGACCCTTTTTTTAGTGTTCTCAAATATCGGACGCCGCTATCTGTATCCTAAACAATGCTGACGAAGGCTTTATATCTGAATAAAAATGCGACTAAAAACAAAGTACCTACTTAGACAGAGATTATATTAAAGAGTAAGTAGTATTAAAAGATCATTAGAGTATTTTTTATTATTTATACCCTCTTTTAAAGGTAAAGCAAAGCAAGCAAAATGTAGCTAATTTGAATGTTTTAAATCCTCCAAATTCATTTGATTTCAATTTGACTGTATTTTTTTAATAAAAAATATTTTCTTAATATTAATTGTTAACTAAAGTATTTATGTTATTATTACGTGTAATTATATAGTACAACTTAGCGAAATCTGTATATAAAATATTTTTTTAAATTAGTGATTGTAACGTGTTGTTTTCAGAATATAGACCTCGAAATAATAGTTATTAAATGTTTTATTTGTTCGTCTGTATGCGTTTTACGCAAAAAGTACAGAACCAATTTTAACTAAATTTTGTATATGGATAACTTATTACTCGAGTCAACATTTAGGATAGATTTACTAGAAAATCATTTCCACGGGAAAACACAATAATTCGTTGTATGGAGTCGTCGTTAGAAATTTACATGGCTAACTCTGGCTTAACTTTAGGAGATATGTATGTACATCAAAACAATGTACTAGAAAACTATCCCGGAAATAAGCTTTTACAAATATAATCCTTCAAGATATATGAAGGAATAAAATAATTAATGATTCACAATAATGAGTCCTGAAATGTTCAGATTTTCTTCAAAACCATTAAAACATGCTCATATTGAAAGTATCCCAACCCAATTACTTATACCTAAAGCTACTCTACATCCTAAGTTTTTTATATGATACTACTAATTTAGATATTTTAAATTAATACATTAAGAAACTAACGAACACGATACTGATATCAGAAATGTGCTATTTAAAAACCCATAAATAATAACATTAGTATTTTTAACTGACTTGCAAAAAGGAGGAGGTTCTATGTGATTTTTTTGGGAACTAAGTTCGCACGATAAACTCGGCACACTTGGCGAATGAGACCTAGATGGAAAAAAATCAATTTTTATTATTTATTAAGATTTCAAATATGATTACCACTTGTCTTAACGATGAAGGAAAACATCGTGAGGAAACCTGCATGTCTGAGAGAACCTAGCAAGTTTTCAAAAGACATGTGAAGTCCGCCAACCCGCACTTAGCCAGCGTGGTGGACTATGGCATGATTCCCCTCGTACTGAAGGGAGGCCCGTGCCCAGCAGTGGGACGTTAAAAAGGGCTGAATACACATTTACTAAGAGCATCCCATATGACATCATCATAAGTACTAGGGAAGGAATGTATGTAGTAAGTAGTTCGTTTGCACTCTTATGACGGTTTCCAACATATATAACTTTTCCTTTGAGGACATTGCTTAAGCTTTGAGGTCCCCTAGTACTGGTAACAATTATTGTCACCTGATATTTTTAAGGGCAAGCATATAACGTGACGTCATCATAAGTACCAGGCGATCATTAGCGCGAAGCAATTTATGTGCATTGTGTGCAGATCTTTCTTCGATGAGCTTCAACATACACAATATATATTTCTTAATGTATATGATACCCTAGTAGTTACTACTCATGACTATTTTTATCTAACTTAGGAGCCAAGGACAGAGAGCGAAAAGAACTTCGTTCCTACCGGGTGTCCTATAATGTCTGTCATATTTTTTGTGCGTACACCGATTTCTCGGAGACGACTAGAACGAATTTGCTACTTTAATATTTTCCTACTTTAGAAAGAGGTATACGATAATTCAACAACTATGGGCTTGAAAAAAAGTCATTTAGTAGCACCTATAAGAATTTTAAATATATACAGAGATCTACTCGCTTATGTGGACTTCATTTTTTCACCCCTCAGTTACACGTATGGAGTGCCCCCTATACATTTTGTTTATTTCTACATGTTTTATTGTTTATTTTCTTTATTTTTTGGAATTTAAGTACCGGATCGGCTAGCGACTTACATAAGACCATATCCAATTTTAACAAATTGTAATAACGTAGCTCTGTAGCAACGTAGTCTTTGAATAAAATAGGTGTGACGTTCGGAAAGATGGACAGATGAACATGGCAAAATTACAAGGATTCCGTTTGACCCACTTAGCTATGAAACTTCACAAAGTTGAGTTTTGCCTAATAGTTCGAAATGTTCAAAAACTATTTTAGAATACATAATAAACTATGTATTCTATAATAGTTCCTCAATCCCCATTCGCGGACTTCATAAGCAAAAAAAATTTTTTTTTAATGATTTGTTATTCTATAATAGTGTAATTTATTCCATTTAATAAAAAAAAACCAAATAAACTTAAAAAATTAGTTAAAGGCTTTGCAACTTAAGGTTTCAATGAAAGGAGTTTGATTTTTTCAATCATTTTGTTTTATTTCAACATTGTATTTATACAAAACTTATCTACAATTACATACTCAGTCAATAACTAAGTTTACCAACAAAGTTACAATAAAAAACTTATAAATTAAACTCTAGCGTTCACATTCTATATATCTTACAGCAGCAAACTATCACAATACACTTTAATAAATAACAATAAATAATGTACTACATTAAAATAATTTAGGTACACGTTATCATAACCGCTAATTTACCAATTAACTTCAATAACTTTACAAAGTTTCCCAACGTTATATAGCAAATTATACTATTATAATATAATTATACACGTTGTACACCAATTGAGCAGCTTATTCGAGGACACTGAATTTAAATGGATGTTTTGTTTTTTTTTTAAATATTTTGTTCTAAGGAGTCACACATTTCGGTCCTCGTCTCACTTGACCGATCGCACAAGAACCACTAACAATACTGTTCCGGTTTGAGAGGTCTGGAATGAAAGTGTTGTCAGACCTCACTAATTTACTGATTAGTGAAGGCAAAAGTTCTGATTGATGTTTTTTTTCTTCTTCCATACCGATTTTGATAGTTGCTAATGCTTCTTTGGTTATCGGATCCTGTTTCACCACTATCTTCATAACGAAATCTTCATTTATCGGAATCTCGTTCATTCTTATCACAGCACATTCAATGTTTACCAAAATTAGGAAACTTAGGCAAAACCGCAGGCAAAGTTTTGTAGCCGACATTTTTTGTTGACTTTGAATTTTATGTTACGAAATGATCTCGTCTCAAACGACTGTTCGAGTTTGCCTCTCTAAAGACTCTGTGTTGGATATCAACTCAGCACACAGTATTTATACGTTAAATTATTTAATATTTGTAGCATTTTTCCTATTACGTAAATGTCGAATCCCAGTGGGAAATATGACGAATCAAACGAGTCACAGTAACACCTTTTGAATATATTATATAAGATTTATTCAATATCAAAGTGCGAAAGTATATTAATATTAGAATTAATGGTATATTCGTTTGCTATAATATATTATTATTAATGACGTCTAATAAGAGTAAAAGTTTTAGTATAATATCATTATTATATCTTGTTTTCTCTAACAAAACTATTATGGAGACATTATTTATGTTAAAGTTATTTTTTAGAAATTAAAAAACATTGAGTAATGTTTTTTTTAATATAATATTAGGTATTAGTTCTATTTGGGGGTTATTTATTACGAATTCTTACTTGTTGGAAAATTCCCCTTTTTAATATATTTTGCATGATGCACTTGTTATTTTGTGACTGATTTACCTAAGTTGTAGAATTCAAATTAAAGTAGTTGTGCAAATTTAATTAACTTTATGGGTATAATTTGACATTATTGATTGTGTAATCTTCAGTTACAAATTATTATGAAAGTGTCTTCTCGACTCAACACGTTTTTTTATTGTTTTTAAGTTATACATTCTGATTCTTGAAATATAATTTCAACTAACTAACGTTGCACGTGAAGATCGAACCCATCACCATTGACGTTGGATCCAGTTACGGCTTTAGTTACTCTAGGCACTTGTTTAGAAGACTAATGAGAAGATGGTAATTATATTATAAATATTCTATTAGCCTTGACACCTTTGGACACGTGTGCATTTCTGTCATTCAGTTACTAGTATTTATACCTATATAGATAACTAGCATTGCCCGCGGCTCCGCCCGCGTTCAAATGAGAAAAACCTAATTCTTAGGTTTTACATATTAGTATACTCTTACATTGCAGTTTTTGTGTTTTTTTCTCAGAAATGAGATATTTTCTCGCGGTAAAAAGTATCCTATATGTTGACCCGGATAACCAGCTATCACCATACCAAATTTCATCAAAATCCCTCCAGTGGTTTTTCCGTGATGCGGTAACAGACAGACAGACAGACAGACGGACAAAAATTCGGCCTCTGTATCGATAATAAAGTCTATTTCAATAAGATTTTCCAAAAAATATTCAATGTACATATTCGGCTTAGTTGCAATTTTATTATATGTATAGATTTTATTTTATATTTTTGGATGTATATTTAGAATTTTGTATAAAAAGATGAAATTTCAATATTTTTCATATACTTACATAATATAAACAATTACCTCTGACTTTATATAGATACAAATACAATGCCTTTTAACATATTCGACCTACTTAAATTGTGTGTTAGTGGTTTTTTTCATAGAATTTAAAAACACCTCATTTTGATTCAGGTAAATAATTTATTAGATACTCTGTTAAAAAGAAATCGGGCTACTTTTATGAATGCGAAAATTTGTATGTAGACACTAATGGTGTTAAGTCATTAGATTCTCCATAACCTATTAACATATATAATGCATATCCTATCCAGCGAAGGAAAATGACGTTATGTAAAAAACGCTAACGCTTTCTGGGAATTTATCACCTTATAATATGGTAATTACTATGTATATACTATTATATTATATACATTCATTATTATAACAAAATTTCAATTATACTTCACATTAGTAACACTAAAAATCAGGCCAAAATCCCATTCTAGCGTATTGTGCTTATTAAATCAAACCAAATAAGCACAAATTCAAACTATTTACTAGGAGCCGTTGAAGAGTTCCACTAACTGTCTTCTGGCCTCACCATCAGATCAGCTCCAAGATACGAAATTACTATCATTGGAATATAAAGTCGATATCACAATTAGAAGTAGGTTTACCTATTTATATAAAAATTTTTAAAATTCTAATTACCTAAACCTGTTAACATACTTGAAATTTCATGGTTTTTTCTGATTTTCTCGAAAATGGTATACTTTCTATATCAAAAAAAAATATAGGATCACCTCGGGATACAATAGCGTTTAAAGTAGCAAAATCGGTCAAGCCATCTACGAGAAATCGGTGAATACAGACGAACATAGAACCTCCTTTTTTGTAAATCAGTTAAAAACCAAATTAATTTTAATGCGCCATACATTTAAGTTTTTTATAAGCTTGAATAATTTGTTCAAGTACTAATGTATTTGAATTAATTCAAACGTGTTTTTTATGTTTCATTACGTATTACGTATTTTTTGAAAATCTTTGTATGTTACTAATGTTAGTAGTAAAGAGGTATAACGTCCAGATTTATGTTTCGTTACGATTATTCTTCAAAGTAGGTGAAAATGGTAATATTATCTATCTACAAGTAATTTATACCTACATATAGAGAGTTTCTGTTCTGTTATACAATTAATTTATTTATCATACGATGATATATTGTAGTATATGTATGTCCAGGCGATCCTGCAACACTCCAATGTAGTGCAGCAAAAGAGTTCCGCTGTGGGTTTTAGTGAGTAAGTGTCTCATTGATGCTCCTCATGATGGGGTTTCCCCAGTGAAATAAAAAAAATACATTGTACCATGATTTGCTTATGCCCATACAAAAAAAATAACGATGACATATTATGTCTGCATAATTAATAGGGATGGTCCCCGATTTACTAACATTGCTGAAATAGAGCGGTTTTTTTTTCTTTTCGCGATGGTGTCACACTTAGCATTTATAGCTCATTATTCGAACTGCAACTTTTAGATTGGCACCAAAATATTTTTATTTACAATATCTATACATATAATAAAATTGTAACTATACCGAATCTGTATATTAAATATTTTTTGGAAAATCTTATTGAAATAAACATCCCGAATCTATAGTTTTTAAAATTTTTGTCTGTTTCTCTGTCTGTCTATTATCGCATCACAGAAAAACCACCGGAGGGATTTTGATGAAATTTGGTGTGGTGATAGCTGGTTATCCGGGTCAACATATAGGATACTTTTTACCGCGGGAAAATATCTCATTTCTGAGAAAAAATTCAAAAATTACAATGCAAGAATATAAATATGTAAAACCTAAGTATTTGGTTTTTGGTCATATGAACGCGGGCGGAGCCGCGGCCAATGCTAGTATTATATATAACTGTCGCTTGTGTAACTATTTTCTGATTAATTATGGCGAATATTAACGTTATTTAGTTTTAAAAGAATATGTCAAATTGATGAAAGTATAAAATAATGTCTCTACCGTGACCATGATTGCTGTAAAGCAATCGAAACATCGGGAACCAAAAATCAAAAGAAATCCGCAAAAAAAACCCGAAAGATAGTTTTATTTAAAATGTCAAATATTCGCGTAAATCTGAGAAAATATTATACAAAATAATAAAAAAGTAGAATTTCAAATATATTAATTAATTTGTAACGCCATATATTTTAATCAAAGTTGAAACCTACGCCATCATAACAAAGAACAAGTTCTAGTACAGTTTGTTGTGTGTGTTAGCGATACAGCGTGAGAATTGTATATTATAATTGCATGTTATAAATATAGCATACGGTAAACCCCGCGTGAATACCACGAGACTCTCTGCTCACAATTTCGAAAACCGGTTTCGTAATATGCATTAAGTAATATTTATGTTTATATTTACATAACATTAAAGCTTTGTGTATTCCCAACATTTAATCATTTTACTGTCCAACTTTGAACATAGCCATGCTAATAGATAGATAGGTTTTGGATGTTCATATGTAGGTAATAGGTATGTGTCCTAAAACATATTCGAGGCCTGTAAACAGCTTTATTTTTAGGATTTAAACTACGTCTAGTCCAAATTTTAAGATGTACTCGTAACAAACACACTGACTTACAAACATTGGCGCTTATAATAAATGAGATAGCTCTAAGAAGGTAATAACCAATAACTAAGCATGCTATTGCGATGTGTGGAGTTAAGCCCACCAATGGCATGGGCGCTTGTGGCGACGAAGAAAATAATAAAATACCGTATTAATGTAGCATCCTCTCTCTACTAAGTAAAAGTAGCTGTTTTATTCATGGTCAAATATTTTGCCAATGACGTGTATCTATGAAGGAATAACGGAACGGATTGGTTTGACCAATATTATGAAATGTGACCTTGATATATTTTATGTTAAGAATTAATATATGTATTTATATCTATACAGATAAATAAAATTGAAGTGTCTGTTTGTAATGTCAAAATAACAGCTTTTTACTAAATACATATGGATGTATACACGGTACATATACCTACCAAAACAACATTTTTTACAATCTTTGTCTGTCTGTTTGTCTGTCTGTTTGTTCCTGCTAATCTTTGAAATGGCTGGACCGATTATGACTGTACTTTCACTGGCAGTTAGCTGATGTAATAAGGAGTAACTTAGGCTACTTTTATTTTAGAAAAAAGAAAGGGTCTCACGTAAAAAAATTAAAACCAATGAAAAATTTAATAGTATCCGATTCAAATAGGGAAGTTACATACATACGACGGGACGAACCCGAGCGAAGCGAGGGTGAGTCGCTAGTATTTATATAAAAGAATGAAGAATTTTACATAATAAGATATTATACAGTGATATTTCTGACTGGAAGGCGGTGGTAGCCAAGTGCTAATGTGCTGCTTTGCAAAACCAAGTGAAATTAGTTCAAACCCTGGGTCTCAACTCTTATACCTCTAATATTTTAATATGCGAATTATTTTCAACATAATTATCACGCGCTTTACGGTGAAGGAAAATATGAGGAAACTTGCAAGTCTGAGACAATCTGACTGGTTTTGGAAAGCATGTGATGTTCGA